GTGCAATTTAGGGTTTTGACTGTGCAATCTTGAGCTGAATGCCTTGAAACTTGATATGAGGATGCTTGACCATGTTTGTAAGCATATGAGACTTGATTGAGCCTTTGAACACTTCCTTTTCTTGATCAGACTCAAAACCCTAATTTTGACTGTTTAGGAGGCAGTTGGACTGTGCCACCCTTGGGGAATTTTGTGACTTGGCTTGGCAATTTCTTGAAGAATATGGGAGGGCAAATTTTGGGGTACAACACCGTCTCCTTCTATTTTCCAGCAACTTCACGTTCTTCACAATCCTTATTTCTCTTCTTACTGCTTCCTCATTCTATTCTTCTCACAAATAATAAAATAACCTAATATTATTATATTATTCCTTATTGGGCTCAAAACCTACACCCCTTAATACTTACACTCACACATTATAGACCCATATTAAATAATATTAACTTCTAATATTATTTCACCACCCAATAATACAATACCTCAAATATATTATTATTTCTCCATTTAATAAAATAAATCCAATTATAATAACACTTCTTCACAAATATTCCAAAAATAATTTAATTAAATAATTAATTAAATTACGGGCGTTACAAGGTTATCCTAAAGGTGCACGTGTGTGAATAGTGTGTTTGATTGCATGCATTTTTGTCATTGAAATTAGGATTTTCTAACGGTTGATTTTATCTTGCCATACACACCCTAATTACTAACAATTTATATTAAAGCAGTAAATTGCAGAAAGTAAATTTACTATGCTATTACATCATTTGGGGATGGGGGTGTACAAATTTACAAATGGGGGTTGCAAGAATTTAAACCTAATTACCTATTACAACCATATTGAAACTTGAATAATGCATAAGGAATATAATGTACAAGGATGTATTTTGGAAAGGGAATGGATTTTGGTTAATTAAAATAAAATGAAAATAAAATATTTTTTGTGATATTTTTATATATTCATAAAATATACATTGTAAATAAATAATATGCAAAAAATTAACTCAAAATGAGTTGTTTTGATTGATTGGAAAAAATGTTGAAGTTTGTTAAAAAAATGAAAGCAAAGCAAGTGATAAATATTTGTTTTGGTTTTGCCAAGGTTTGAACTCAGGTTCTCCACTCCTTCCATTCAACACAGCCAACACTCAATATGTTGTAAACTTGCTTGTTAGTTTGGAAAAATGGCAAAATAAATACAAAAGGTCTCACTGGAGCTCGAATCCAAAACCTTACACAGAAATGCCTTTCGCGCGCGCTGGGATATGTATCACCATGTTAAGCTTCTAAAAGCTTTGATTCTCAACCAAATCGAAAAGCGTAAATATCAAACCTGTCTAGAATTTGAAAATGAATCCAAACACATAATTTTCAAGAGCTTTAAATCGAAGGTTAGCGTGACTTTTGTTTGGTACCAAAATCAAAAAACCAACAGGTCAGAGTTAAAATTCTTAAAACATAAGCAATGACAATCGAAAGCTAAGAGTATGGTCAGCTTCCTAGATATGATATCTACATCTTTTCTTCATAATGTATATACAAATGATGCTTGAATGAAGAGTTTCAAGTTCTGGAAAAAAACTTACCTCTTAGAGTGAAAATCGAAGGACCTATGTATAACTCTTGAAGTGAAAATCGAAAGACCTCTATATGACTGCCAAAAATGGTTTGGTGATGGACTAAGCTTGCAGGGACCTTCCTTGATCTAGTGGGATCACTACTATGCTTTGAAATCCAGAAGGATTTTGGAGTTGGTCAGAAATGGCAAGCGATGTGGCTTTCAATTCAGATTCTGAGTTCAAGAAGTTTTGAGAGGTTATTCGAAGGTGTAACACTGGGAGAACTGACTTGGGTGTTTTGCATTTGATCGCATTTGTTACGGATAGCAAGAGTCGCCATCGACTTTTCTTTTATCCAATAAGGAAAGGTTGAAAAGAACAGGAAAGACCTTTTGACATTATTTCTTGAGTTCAGGGGGTAGGTTATGAAAAGGGAAGGTATTAGCATCCTTTTCATCCGTAGTTATCTACGGGCTCTTAGTTGCTTGCTAGATCACTTGCTTTTGTTTGAAAATGTGCTTGTGGTGTGGGTTTTGAAAGTATTTTGAAAAATGTCTTTGTAATGGTTCTCGTTTCTATAAGAACACGTACAAAGTGTTGTTTTTGAAAATAATTCAAAGAAGTGTTTGTGGAATGTGTTTTTGAAAGTGATATTGAAAAGTGTCTTTGTAATGGTTCTCGTCTCTATAAGAACGCGTACAAAAAGCTTTGTCTTTTGAAAATGTTCCAAGATAAAAGTGTTGGTGTATAAAATGTTTTTGTTGCGAGCAAGCGAGCAACTAGGAGCATTCTACCTATTCAAAAGGTCTTAATGTTCTTTTCCTCCTCCTTTAGATGTTGCTATCTTACCATTAATTTGGAAAGAAGTCCCATCGTTGGATGTAAAGGGACGGGCATGGGACGTTTGTATAGTCATAGAATGCAACCTATGTAACGTTTTAGCAATGTCGTTTAGGGACTAGATCGTTTACCGAAGGCAACATTGAGGATCATCGAGGGACTACAATCTTTTATTGAGGGTCTTTGCTAAAACGCTCATATTCGAGGGACATGACTATTTGTCTGAGGCAACAAGGGAGATTACCCTAAGGGTACATGTGTGAATGGTGTGTTTGATTTGCATGCATTTAGTCTTTGAACTTTTGGTTATCTACTTGTTGATTTTATCTGGCCATACATCCTAGTTACTAGCATTTATACAAAAGCAATAAAAATGCAGAAAGATGAAATCTTACACTATTACAACCATATTGAATAGCATGAAAATATAAAGGCAGAAATAAAATAAAAGCAAGAAAAATGGGTCTAGATTTTGATCACATTCTATTTATTTTAGGTAATACTTGAAAGGAGAAAAAACACATATACACTGAGTAGTATCATATATATTTTTCTTACTGATTTTTTGCTTTGTCAAAAATTATTTTCTTATATTTTTTCAAGTTACATCATGAGCATACATGTCTTAAAGGAAATACAGTAGAGATGACATATCTGACCGACATCGGTCTTAACAACTTCTTCAACAGTGACATTATGTATTTTATAATCAAGGGTTAGATCAATATCCAATAATTTTAGATGTTTCAGATGTTTGATTATTAAGATATGATGTTACCGATTTGATAAATGTGCAGTTTCTCCATTGCCATCAAAATAAAAAACAAACATGTCATAAAAAAGAATTACGATGTGACAGCTTGAGCAACTCTGGTGAGAGTATTTGGCAACAATGTATACCAAAAGACCATCTAAGCAATACCTGAAAATCCGCAATATATGAAGAATAAAGCCGCAACATAAGATTCACTGCAACATTTCAACAAACACATAGTTTATACCCATTAAAAGTCAGTTTGATAAATAAGTTGATAAGGAATTGCATAAAGATTATTGAATCAATGAAAAATCAGTTTGAATGCATCTAAATAAATGATAATAAATTACAGTAATATAAAAAAACACTAAAGATATTCAATCGTTTCAAGGCCATATTCAAAAATAACAAAATTGATAGGCACCAAGAAACACCCACTTCAATTATAATCAAAGTTAACATGCAGAAACAATTGAATGCATAAACTTTATCGGACACTAACCTGAACCTTCTCAAGATGAATCTCAGCCAACGTATTCAATTTCCCCACATTCGCAAGGGTTGAATCCCAATTTCCCACACACCCAATCAACTTCAGAGTTTGAAGCTTCTTAGAACCAATTATCAACGACATAAAACTCTGTCAGTTAGCAAGCTCCTTCTAATAAACCGATTTCAATGAAGAACAACCATAACCATTACCATAAACCGACGCGACACAGTGGAGCAGCTTTTTCGATCTCCAGATCAAAAAACTGGAATATCCCAGCCAAACACTCATCAGAAATTTCCTCTGTATAATCACGCAGTGAACCTCCATTAACGATGTTGTAAAATGTGAGAATAACATGAAATGAAAAGAGAGAAGAAAACATATTTTCTTAAAATCCACTAAAGCCCTCACCTCTTTCGCTCCAACAGTTGAAATAATGAATTTTTTTATGGAATTGAAAATGATAAATATTGGTTTATGTAATAGTTCAACTCTCCAAACTGAAAAAACTCAAGGGTTTATGGAAAGTTGGAGCTGTTGGTTAATTACAAGGTAACTTTTCATTTTCCATCTTATACATGTATGTGAAAGAATTAGTGTTGTGTTTAGGTTCCAAAAATTCAAAATGTTCATTTAACTAGTGGAATAATAATAACAATGTGTATTTAGTGATTAAAAAAATAAAATTGTAACAAATTGTGATGTGATGACACATCGAATATAATAAATACCAAAACAATATGGTGAAAGTAGTGATAAAAAAAGTCTAATATATCTTTATATTTAAATTAAATATTAATTTGAATTAGAGGAGTAATACTTAAATTTCCAAATACTTTGATTTTTATAGATAGATAAGAAATTCTCTATCTCTTCAATTTTAAGTAAGAATAACCATACACTTAAGCTTAGTGATAAAAGAGCTTATGCAAAAGAAGATATTCGAAGAATATCGAATTTGATTTTTGACAAAAACAATACTTGAACTAATTTCATTGACTGTCTATTATAAATTTTTTTTTTGAAGCCGGGACCATTATAATTTGGAAAAGGAAATTGGTGATTAACTAGTGAATTTAAGGAAAAGTTTTCAAATTCAAATCAACCACTCGTTTACAAAATAGAACAAGCCGGAGCAATATCCAGCTGACAGCAACGTGAACAGGCCGTAACCTCTGAAACTAACCGACAATCAAATTTAGACCGCGAAGTTTCCCCAATCGGCACACCAGAACCATACATGATCAACCATACATCACCATCATCATATTCATCACATGATCACACTCTTTATTCTCTTATTTTCTCACCACCATTCATTCATTCATGCAGATTTTAACAACCAATCATGTTAGCGGTTACCCTAACTCCCTTTCTTCCCGCCAAACCCTCCCCCTCCCGCCAACTCCGTCTCTACAAACGCCGCCGACTCAAAATCAAAGCCTCTTTCCCACTCCCGTCACCGTCGCCGTTTGAGGATCTCTTCACCACGTTGATCTCTCAATGTCCCTCCGTTAACTCGCTCGATTTCATCGTTCCCGCTTTAGGTTTATCCTCCGGCGCCGCTCTTTTCTTCTCCCGCTTCAAATCCACTCGAATTCCCGATTCCGATTCCGATGCCGGAGAATGGATCCTCTTTGCATCCCCCACGCCGTTTAACCGTTTTGTTATGCTTCGGTGTCCTTCGATATCGTTTAAGGAAAGCCGCGGTGAGGTTAACGAGAGGTTAGTGAAGGAGGAGAAGCATTACGTGACGGTTAACAGAGGTAAAGTTAATGCCAAGAAGAAGGAGAAGGTTTTTGATTCGGGTGAATTGAGTTATCAGAGAGTGTGTTTGAGTGCGCCTGATGGAGGTGTGGTTTCGTTGGATTGGCCGGTTGATTTGGATTTGGAAGAGGAGAGTGGTTTGGATTCGACGTTGTTGCTTGTGCCGGGGACTCCTCAAGGGAGTATGGATGATGATATAAGGTTTTTTGTGGTTGAAGCTCTTAAGAGAGGGTTTTTCCCTGTTGTTATGAATCCTAGAGGATGTGCTTCTTCACCACTCACCACTCCAAGGTACTATATTACTTTTCTTGATCTCTGTCTTGCTAATAACTTAGTATAAATGCTTACATTTTAGTCTATTTTACTACTTTTTTATTGATATTGGTATGGTATATTGCATCAATGTGACTATGTGATCACCTATCAAATCGAAATGCGTTCTTTAGGAAATCTGTGTAGTGAAAGATGAAGTGACTTGTAGTATATTGTTTGACATTATATACTAAATATAGTTTAGTACTTATGTTGTGGATGTTAGACATGGGAGATTTCCCTATGAGTGAGAATGATGATTGGTTAGGGTCGTAATCTCTTGGGGCTGGGGACTGACTTCCTTTTGATATCACGTTTTGATCCAATACAACCACCAAAGGATTATGAGAAATGTCAGCAACACATATTGTGACACTCTTTCCAACTCTTTCTTTGTGACTGGTTGGGATTCATGTAGGCCTCGGAACTTTGAGAATAGGTAGGTCCACCACGTTTGAAATGGAACCCATATGAATTAGTGCAATCCTCATGTATTTCAATTGATAGTAGAGACTAGAGAGAGTGTTGGAGCGAGAATGTCAGACATTATGCTGCTAGCTCTTCTAAAGGATCATTTAGTCCTACGACCGGGACACTGGTTACTTCTTTTAATGGTCTGGGACTTGGGAGTACCTTTTTTTCTCTCATTAGAGACTTATGGCAAAGATAAGACAATGGTAGCTTTATTTTCTGTAGGTTATTTACCGCTGCTGACAGTGATGATATCTGCACAGCTATAACTTATATCAACAAAGCAAGGCCGTGGACTACCTTGATGGGTGTTGGCTGGGGATACGGTGCAAACATGCTATCAAAATACCTGGCCGAGGTTGGGGAGAAAACACCACTGACAGCTGCTACATGTATAGACAATCCTTTTGATTTAGATGAAGTAACAAGAACCTTTCCTCATCACCAAGTTACTGATCAGAAACTCACTCGTGGACTTGTAGATATTCTAAAAACCAATAAGGTAAACTGCATTCAGTTTTCACCCATATTTTCCCCCCTTTGCAATTTGTCTGCATCCCATTCAACCTCCAATCTGTTTATTTGGATGCTTTTCAGTATTCTTCTATTATCCCTTAACACCACTAGTTCTGACATAACTGAGAACTCCCTACTTTGTAGGCACTATTCCAAGGCAAAACAAAAGGCTTTGTTGTGGAAAAAGCTCTGCTGGCAAAATCCATACGTGATTTTGATGAAGCAATATCCATGGTATCATATGGCTTTGTGGACTTGGAAGAATTTTATAGAAAATCTAGCACAACAAATATAATCAAGGATATCAAAATTCCTGTCCTATTTATACAGGTAATTGTGCATTTCTTTATGCCACTGTCTCATCTAATAAGTCCTCTCTTGATCTATAGCATCCTTTGCATTTTGCTAAATATGAATTCATTACGTTTTCTATTGCTTTGGTGGTAATTGTTTTGGTTGTTAGTAGTATACTTCTGATTATCCACGACACACTAAATAATTCTTTTTAATTGTGTTTCGATGCTTTGTCACTATTAGAAATGTGGAATAATCACATTTTTATTGTGATTTCACAAAAATGGAGGACATATTTAGGGAAAAAAAATCTGTTAACACCTATGTAGTCAATGATGGATAGCGTGGCAGATGGCCCCCGATATGCTTTAGTGGTGAAGTGGGTAGAGGTAAGGCCGCCACTCTGAAGTTTAGGGAAGAAGAAGAGATCTGGTCGTGGACAGTACAAAGGAGAAGCAAAGATCTACTCGCGTACAAAACAAGAAGGGAAGATCGTGCAGGAGTCAAACGAGCAAAGGTCGCAGAGAGGAGAGTTTGCAGCCTCCCAGAGGAGAGCTCGCGAAATAGTAGAGAGGTTGCAGAAGTAAGAAAGCCAAAACGGTTCTAGAAGACTAAAAGTGGGAGCGATTTTCCTTTTCGCACAAATAACCAGGGAGTAAACTTTTCAGTTTGTTTGTCTTATCTGTTATGCTCTTCAATGTGATCCCTCTGCAATTTCGTCTCTACTGTTGCAACACAAAAGCCACTCTGCCACAGTGTTATTCGCACCGGTCCTTCGCTACACCAAGTACCATTGTGATTGCAGCTGCCGCCACCCTTATTGACTACAGGGTTTGACACCCGGGGCCAAATTGAGTATATGACACGTCTAATAACTTTTCTGGGAAAGTGAGTTTCACCGTCCGACTGTTGAATTATGTTATATTATTTGAATAAACATATATTCAATCTCTTAGGTAGTTTAAACATTTATAACCATGTAATGTAATGATAAATATTTACCTATATTTTAAATGTCATAGTATACATTAAAACCTATGATGCATAGGTATGGGTACGGTACCCGGTCCGGGTGTGGGTATTCGTATGGGATACAACAGGTACGGTATGTGTACATGTACCCGATGCGGATACTTCACCATTTTAAAAACATCCATGCTTCAGAGGTTAAAACACAGTGATGTATTAAAGCTTGCAATGATTTTTGAATTTTATAGGTATGGTCAATTTTGAAAACGTTCAATTTAGTGATCAGATAAGTGAAAGTTGTATTCTACACAGTTATTGGAGGTGTAATTATATATTACCTCATAACAACAGTTGATTATTGTGAGAAATGAAAACAATCAATGACAGCTGTGACCCGGATTTAGAAACACGATGAACGGTCACACGAGCAGTTTGTATCTCTTTGTTTGTGTAAGTGCTTTCATCTTCATCTTTTTGTCTGAACTTGTGGCATGTGTTCGACTCCAACTTCTACTATTCCCCTGCATATGTAATTCTACCTAGTGCATACACTAACCATCACAACACCTTCTTAAGTGATGCAACCTTCACGACCCCATTGTTACAATATCATAGTGCAGAAAGAGAGAATAGTTTGTGAAACTCTCATTGTATTTCATGAATCAAATGATACAATGAATACTCTATATATAGAGTAGGAGCTGTAACTAACTGTAACAAACTAATACAGTCTAACTAACATGACAGCTCATCATTCATATAAACAGAAACTAATCTTTATTTACACTATATCTATCATCCCCCCTTAGAAGCTGAGAGGGTGCTTGACAAGTCACTCTTGTTGAACACTCTGAGCTTGTCACGCAGAGGCACAAACTTAGCGGCAGACAGAGGTTTGGTCAAGGCATCAGCCCATTGATCCTGAGCTGGAACATGTGCTACAGTAAGACTCTTGCTGGGGACTTTCTCACGCACAAAGATAATATCTAGCTCCATATGTTGTCCTGTTGTGAAGCACAGGATTGTGAGCAAGAGTAACTGTACTCAAATTGTCACACAAAATCTTAGGCACCTGGAAAGGACAGTGTAGTTCCTTAAGTAAAGACTGAATCCAGATTAGTTCAGCAGCCAACTGAGCCATGTTACGATACTCTGCTTCTGCACTGGATCGTGCTACAAGCTGCTGCTTTTTAGACCACCAAGAAACCACATTAGGGCCTAGAAAAACACATGCTCCTGAGGTGGACCTTCTGTCATCAGGGTCTGATGCCCAGTCAGCATCACAAAACCCAAGCAACTGTAATGGCTGCTGAGTAGAAGCAGGTTGAATAAGAAGGCCATGCTGAGAAGTGCCACTTAAGTATCTTAAAATTCTTTTAACTGCCTTCCAATGTTCTTCCAAGGGATTGGACAAAAACTGGCACACTTTGTTAACTGAAAAAGAGATTTCAGGCCTAGTTAATGTTGCATACTGGAGAGCACCAACAACTGATCTGAACTGTGTAGGATCATCAATAGCAGTATAACCTATTTTGGAGAGCTTACTGCTTGAAATCATAGGAGTAGGCATGCTATTTGCATTCAACATGTTCACCTTGGCCAGCAAATCAGTGATGTACTTTGTTTGAGAAAGAAGTAAGGACCCATTAGACAGATGAGTGACCTCAATGCCTAAGAAATAATCCAGTTTGCCCAACTGCTTAAGAGAGAATTTGTCATTAAGATGCTTAATCAAAGACTCTATAAATGAGACAGAATTGCCTGTGATGATTATATCATCAACATAGACAAGTATCATGATCTGTAGACTGCCATGATTAAGCAAAAATAGGCTTGGATCACACCTGCTAGCCTGAAATCAATGCTGAATAAGAGCACTCTTAAGTTTGTCAAACCAGGCCTTGGGAGTCTGTTTTAACTCATAGATAGCTTTGTTCAATCTGCACACAAGAGACTTATCAGATGCTTCAAACCCAGGAGGTTGTTGCATAAACACTTCCTCTTCAAGAGTGCCATTTAGAAAGGCATTATTGACATCAATTTGCTGAATAGTCCAGTTGTTGGTGACTGCAAGGGTTAACACAATCCTGATTGTTACAGGCTTAACCACAGGTGAGAATGTTTCAGTGAAATCACTTCCATCCTTTTGATGAAACCCTTTGGCCACCAGTCTGACCTTGTATTTGTTTATGGAACCATCAGGATTCTGTTTTAGCCTGAAGACCCATTTGCACCCAATTGGCTTCCTAGAACCAGATGACTTTACCAAAGTTCAGGTCTGATTTCTCAGCAGAGCCTGATACTCTTCCTGCATTGCCTGAAACCAGTTAGGAGCAGCCAAAGCCTGGTCAACTGATGTTGGTTCCATGTGTGTAAGTAACAGGGTGGGATGAAGTCTGGGCAGTGTAATGCCTCTTTTGGCTCTGGTTTGCATAGGATGAACATTTAAAGGATTAATAAAGGGTTGGGGTGGAGTGGAATTGACATGGCTAGGAGCAGAAGAGAGAGTTTGAGAGGAAGAGGGAGATATAGTACTGGCTTCTGCAAGATCAGATGTGATAAGAGCAGAAGTGGAAGTAGAGGATAAATTGGGTGTGTTAGGAGTAGCGTTAAGGCCAGAAGAAGCAGAAGCTGGTAAGGGACTGAGAGTGGGGATAGAATCAGAATTAGATGGGACAGATGGTTGAGGATTGGCTGACAAAGAAGAAGAGAGACTGTTATCCTGACTTGGAATAGAAGTAGTGAAAACAGGTGGTAGAGACCAAGCTGACACAGAGGAAGAAGATGAGGCTGAAGTGGATTGAGAATTAATGGAAAACACAGTGGAGTAAGGAAATTGGGATTCATGGAACAAAACATCCTTGGAGATGTAAATATGTCCATTAGATGCAAGGCACTTATACCCCTTGTGAGCTTTGGAGTAACCAAGGAATATACATTCTTGGGACCTATAGTCCAACTTATGAGAATTATAAGGCCTAAGAAATAGATAACAGGAGCAGCCAAACACCCTAAGGTTAGAATAGTCAGGAGGTTTGCCAAGCAGCTTAGAATAAGGTGAGTGATTTTCAAGTGTGGGGCCAGGAAGTCTATTTATAAGGTAAGCAGCTGTAACAAAAGCATGATCCCAGAATTTGAGGGGGAGGGTGGATGGGCAAGTAAGGTTAGGCCTGTTTCAACAATATGGCGGTGTTTGCGTTCCATAATGCCATTTTGGTGGTGGGTGTGGGGACATGTGAACCTATGAATAATACCTAGATCAGTTAGATACTTTGTGAAAGGCCTAAATTCACCACCTCCATCAGTTTGGACACACTTAATAGCATAGTTGAATTGGAGTTCTACTATTTTCTTAAAGTTAGTGAATTGGATTAGGGTATCAGATTTGAGTCTAAGAGGGAACAGCCAAACAAATCTAGAGAAATCATCTACACATGTCAAGAAATAGGTATAACCACCTGAGGATGTCATTGGAGCTGGTCCCCACAGATTACAAACTACAAGCTCAAAGGGCTGACTGTAAACAGTGGTGGATAAAGAGCTGGGCAGCCTATGGGATTTGCCTAGACAGCAAGCAGTGCACAGTTCAGCAGGGGGTTTAGAGGGAATAGGTAGATGGCACAATTTGAAAATTTCAGTGATAGCATGATGATTGGGGTGCCCTAATCTGGTATGCCACAAAACATATTTATTATTTGAGATAGATGAAGAGCTATTAACATGTTGAGATGATAATTCAGGATTGTGAGTAACATCATTGATATGAGGAAAATTGGAAAAATTGTTCATATTATTACTGTTGAAAGAAACAGAATTACAAGAGGGAACACAATTTGAACTACAACTTGAAGTGTTGCTACTAAAAGCTACAGGAGGACAAGATAAGCTATAATCTGAGCTACAATTATTCATGGAGAAGCTTGAGTTGAACAAGTATTAAGACTTGGAATAGGCTTGGACATTTGAGTGGCAGGATTAGGAAATTTGTAGAGACCATCAGCTCCCACTAGACCACGGAGCAAAACTTCAGAAGAAGCCCGAGATTTGACAACACAGAATTTAGGGTGAAATTCAAAGAAAACATTGTTATCCTGTGCAAATTTGCTTACACTCATCAAGTTTTTGGTGATGTGAGGGATAAGTAACAGATTGTGAAGAGTGAGGGACATGTTAGGATTGTTTGGTAAAGGGAAGTACATGGAACCAACAGAGTTGATAGACAAACCTTGGTTGTTTCCCATAAAAACCTGATCAGATCCAGGTAAAGAGACAGAGTCAGACAAATTAGAGGCCTCAGGAGTAACATGGTGAGAGGAACCTGAATCTGGATACCACCATTGGTTGTTGAAATTAGCTTCAGAACCTGCAAAGAAAGCTTATGGTGCAGTAGCCCTAGGAGTAGTGGCTCGTGGAGCTCCATAACCAAATGAAGGTTGAAACATAGGGCGAGCTGGCATGAGAAAAGGATTGTAAGGAGCTCTTTGAGGTGGATACGCAGCACCTCTGGAATTTGAATAACGGTAATAGCAGATGGATGCATCATGTCCAGATTTGTGACAAATCTGACACTGCGTTTTGCCAAAACGACCACCACCACGGCCATAACGACCACCTCCACGACCAGAACGGCCTCCACGGGAGCTATAATCATGATTCTCAACATTCACAGCGACGTGACTCGTACCTTGAGGAAACACGTCTATGCCGGATTGATCGGTGGTGACCGTTGCAGGTGGTGCTACCTGCGTGAGATTCACCGTTGCAGGTTCAGTGACGACGACTTTGCGATGCTTCTCCAAGCGTGACTCATGTGCAAGAAGTGACGACTCAAGCTCATCAAGAGAATTGAGTTCTTCTTTATTGTTAACAGCTGCAACAATGGAGTCGTATTCCTCAGGAAGCGCATCGAGGATGATCTCAATTAGGTTACGAAGAGGAACTGGATCTCCAATCTAAACCAGAGGCTCGCTGATTTCACGAACACGAACCATGAGTTCCTCAATCGTAAGCGTATCTTTCGTGAGACGACGCAATTCAGATCGCAACTGTCGCGTTTTGGTGGAGAGAAGCATATTGAAGTAACGGTGAATCTTCGTCCACACTTGCAATGAATGCTTGCAATCAACAAGCTTCGGAAGAAGCGAATCAGAGATAGTAGAGAGAAGCCATGTACAGATGAGTGCGTCCTATTGTTCCCAATCAAGATACTCAGAGTTTGCACCGTGAAGTGCAGAAACAGAATCGGACGGTGACTTTGGTGGAATCACCGGAACAGTGACGAAGCATTGAAGACGATGACTGCGAATAACTCCATCAATTTGTTGCTTCCATTGCTTGAAGTTCTTGTCATCAAGCTTGACAGAGATCAAGTGAGAAAGCTTTACTTGCGGAGATGGAAATAAAGGATCCATGGAAGCGTGTGGCTGGATCTTAAATGGAAGCTCTAATACCATGTTACAATATCATAGTGCAGAAAGAGAGAATAGTTTGTGAAACTCATTGTATTTCATACAATGAATACTCTATATATAGAGTAGGAGCTGTAACTAACTGTAACAAACTAATACAGTCTAACTAACATGACAGCTCATCATTTATATAAACAGAAACTAATCTCTATTTACACTATATCTATCACCCATCAATGCTGCATCAACTTTTGTGCTGTGTGATGTGGTTCTCCAAACAATTAAGTTGACCTTTCTTTTTGTTATGAGCTTACCCCTTTTCTACGCTAAACAAATAGAACACGTCTTCAACTTTTTTAATCTCCAATTTCAACTTGATTACCCTCCAAATGTGCTTTAAAAAATGGTAGGAAATAAATGATTTAACCATATATGGGCGATCATTGTTTTTATCTAACTGTTGGCACTGTTGAAGACCATAATCAGATGCCATTCGAATTTGTTTCTGGTTGAGAGGGGAGTACTTTTCATAATTTAAACAAACCAGTGTGAAAATAACCAAATGGAAATGAAAGGAAGGAAGTTGCAATTTAGTAGGTCGGGATTTTATTTTTTCATTAAACATATAGATTAATATCAGAGTTTAAATTTATCTCTATCTCCAGGCTAAGGTACAGAGTTCTTAGTCTGATTTTGAGACGACGATTACACCTATACAAGTTAAACCAAAACAGTATGCACAAGACAAATGCGAGCATTGTGAGTTATATACAGTAACAGTCTTGCTCCCCTGTCCCTTCTTTTCACTGGTGGATATGACAATACTTACAAACAATAAATAATCAATGAATCTCAGTTCTTGATTTGTTTTAGCCTTCATCCATAACAAGGAGTCGTTATATATATGCCTTCATTGGTTTATTGTTGTTTTATTAAAAGTGTCATTTTTTGAATTGTTTGTTATTTGATGGTTATTAATACACATATATGAATGTATGCAAATGCATAAAATGTCAGAAGTCTTACTGACGCTAATTTTTTTTATCAGAGTGATAATGGGATGGTTCCAGTATTCTCAGTTCCACGGAATCTGATTGCAGAAAATCCATTCACCAGCCTACTCCTATGTTCTTGTTTACCATCAAATGTTATGGATACTGAAACATCTGCTTTATCATGGTGTCAGCTTGTAACAGTCGAGGTAGCTATCTCTATCTAGTCATGGATGAATATGTTGTCTTATTTATGTAACATTCTTGAAGTTGGGATTTATAGTCTTTGATTTATAGGTTTTGAAAACAATTCTAGACTGGGCAGATAGACCAGCAAACCAGCTTGCTGCTAGGGTTAACTTGCTACACATTTCTTAGGCTTACAATGAAAAGCAAAAAGAGTCTCAAGGAGACAACAATATAAACTTCTAAACCCTAAGACTCAAGTCTCCCACAGACGCTTCCTCTTTGTGTCGAGGTATGCATTAAGGCTTCGCTCCTCGTGCTGGTTCCAGTTTAGCTCTATTTTGCTTGTTTTTATGTGATTGGATTTGGTTTCCCTAGCTTGTTGGAGTCTTTGTTTCGGTCTTTCCCCTCATGGCTATCTATAAAGTATCTTCAACTTGAAGCGGCCTAGCAAGCCTCTTCCTTAGCTACTACTGCTAATATGCTGGCACCGGTAATTCTGTATCTGGTCTTTCTCATTCTACTCCTGTTGGATTTTATATTTTGTAATCTAGCAACTTTGATCCCACAGATATCATTCCTTCTATTTTCTCGAAATTACTATCTCCTACAACACCACGCCACATTACTCTTGCTGATGTGTCTAAAACCACAAGTTAACAGGCTTCTCCTTTGTCATTCTGTCTTATTTGCACAGGGCTGCCCTGTTAATTTGATCTCCATCTGTCAGCTTGTTCATTCCCTCAATTGTTCCATAACTTCTATGCTTGATTCTTGTTAAACAGCTCAAGTGATTGTAACAAGATTTGAATCACGCGGACTCCACTATCTTTGACCTTCTTCCACTCTATGTGTTGTAACTTGTAACTGTATGTCTCTATTTATTGATGCCTGGCATCCAAGTATAAACAAATTTATCTAAACTGTTATTACCTTTCCCATTTGCAATTATTTGAGTGTGTGTCTTGGCATCTTGGAAAACCTGTTAAGGTTTCCTTTCCAATGTCAATAAGCAAGCTATGACTCCTTCAAATGTTTGGGGTGCTAATCATGTTTCTTCTGTTTTGGGGTATAGAATACAAATATTGTCATATTCTTTGATGATATCTCAATGTATACTTGGATATTTCTTAATGTGTACTTGGATATTTTTAATGGATTGTCATTGGAGGGTCATTTGACTTTCTTTTTCCTTTTGTAGAATTTTGTGAGGTTTGGGTATATTTTACATGTGCTATTTTGGTACGAATATGCAGTGGCTTGCAGCAGTGGAGCTGGGACTCTTAAAGGGCCGCCATCCTCTTCTGACAGATATAGATGTTACAATAAATCCCTCTAAAGGATTAGCTGTTGTGGAGGAAGTAAGGACAGATAAGAGTTCAAAAGTCGGGAAATTGTCGGGGTCAGATCCATATAATGGGAACTCTACTGACCCTACTAAAGGTTTGGTTGAAGAAAGTAAGAATGACGCTGGCTTCCAACAAGATCTACAACAGAACATTGAGCATAGAGATGTGAGCTTACAGGTAAAAAGTGGCCCATTACAGCAGAATAGCTCCAGTGGTACAGATTTGATTGGAGAGGAGAATGCTGCATCAGTGGATAGTGAACAAGGCCGTGTTTTGCAGACAGCCCAAGTAGTAACCAATATGCTTGATGTTACCATGCCTGGTACTCTTACAGAAGAACAGAAGAAAAAGGTAGATCTTAAAGTTTTCTATTATCAGGTGTCATTTCTGTGTTTGGAGGTTGTTTGTAAGTTCTGTCTTTCATTAATGCAATAATCTTTCCTGCTAATAGTATATGTATGACTTTGTAACTATCACAACTAGCTTACTATCAGCTTCGCAACTAAACTTACCTGAATTAACTAACTTTTAACAATATATGTATGGCTTTGTTCTATACTTATTTTCTGAAGATAAATGCAATACATGTCTCTACATCCATCATATGTTAGAAGATTTCCTTTTTTATCGTATTGAAGTGTTATATTATTCGGGTTTTACTTGTGATCCTTCATACTATTTATTTATTTATTTTTCATTTTCTCGTGAATATTTGGTGTATCTTCTGTGAACTTTAATTATGCTTATTTTCTAAATTATTTTAATTATGCTTATTTTCTAAATTATTTTTATGTACTCTTTCAGTATGGTATTCTGTTGTTACTTGCAATGAAATATTTATAATATGGACTCTACCTTTTAGTTTAAATCACAATGCAAATAAATAGTTGGATTAAGATGCCTGGTTTATTGAAGTGTTAACCTTACAGATGAAGGTTTTAAGGCAAAGAAAAAAACTTCATCAATGTTCTTATACTCGGCAATTTCATTTAAAGATAACAGATAGTTTTGGATAACTTGGTTAATTTGTTTCTTGGGGTTAAGCAATCACTTTTTCTCGAAGACTTTGGTACTCTAGTGTCGATCTAGGTAGGAGAATGTGACACTTTTTCCTCACTTGTTTTGTATATCTTTATTTTTGTTCTTTTATAAATATTAAATATTGTCGAGTTTAGAATCAATAGGAATAAGTTCTTCTATTTATACGTTAGCTTTTTAGTTTGTCTTCTACAATGTGTGTGATTGTGCTACATGAATTCGCGATGACTTTGCGTTTTGTTAGAAGAATGTCTTATTTATCTTCATATTTGGCACGGGTCACTTGATTTTCTGTATTTTTTTAATAGTGTGAAATGTGTAATGGTTTGTCTAAATTCTGGGTTAGTGTTAGAATTTTGCAATTGCAGTGACACTTGACGAAATTTCCAGGTATTAGCTGCTGTGGGTCGGGGTGAGACTCTCATGAATGCTTTGGAAGGTGCTGTTCCGGAAGATGTTCGTGGAAAGTTAAAAGAGGCCGTTGCTGGAATTTTGCAAGCTCGAGGTTCTGACTTGAAGTTTGATAAAATTCTCAGCATTGCTCAGTCTCCTGATTCATCACCAGGGCATACGAACAAAGAAAAGTTAACAGAAGCATCAAGTGAAGAAATTAGGGAAGATCAGTCCTCTTCAAATCAGATGAAAAATACTAGTAGTTCTATAGATGGCTCTGATAAAGTTGCAAGTGACAAGGGTGAGCCTGCAGAAGGAATAGAGGCAGAAGTTGTCCGTGTGGAGAAACATTCTACAAGTTCACCTCAATCTCAAGAATCAAACAATGAAGTTGGTTCTTCTTCGAAGGAAAATGGCGAGTTTAGAGAAATTAATGATACAAATGAGGATTTAAAAGAAAAGGTTGTTCCTGATATGGATCATAGCGAGAAGGGATTAGAAACAGGTTCTGAATCGTATACTCCCAACCATCCTGAGATGGCAGGTGTCTCTGAAGCAGAAGCGGTTACTGAACAGAAAAGCCAAAACAGTGGAGTAGCTCAAACAGAAACAGAGGAAAATAATATCCCGAAGGTTGACCAGAAAAATCAAGGTTTTTCTAATGATCAAAGTAAAACAGCACCGACTGATGCAAAAGAAGAACCTTCTCCTCTGGTGTCCTCTGAGCACCAGGCAGTGGATAAAGAAGTTAATGGTGATAAAAATAAAGATATTCAGAATATACAGCAAGCTTCACCCCAAACTAACACTTCCAGTTCAGTTCCTGGGGCCCCTGGCTTTAGCGTTTCTCAAGCACTTGAAACCTTAACAGGGATGGATGATTCTACCCAAATGGCTGTTAACAGTGTTTTTGGTGTGATAGAAAATATGCTATCTCAGCTTGAGAAGAACCCAGATAATGAAGCTGAAGTCAAGGATGAAAAAGCCATTGAACACAAGCTAGATGAACAACGAAAAAGTAATAGCCAGAGCAATGATACCAACATATCCGGAAATCCTTCTTTAGATAATCACCATGATAGCATGTCCTTGAGGATTGATTCTTGTCATATGGAAGAACAGCTAAAAACCCTCAACACAACTAATGGAAGTGGCGTGTGTGATTCTCAAAATTGTTACTCTAATGATCACCCAGTTAAGAAGCCTAGTAATACAAATAGTCAACTGATTGATAAAAGATTTCTCTTTGATGAATGGGATGGACACAGACATGTGAATAGGATGCCAGACTTCATAGCGGGAGGTTCATATAGATATGGGAACTCTCCGTACAAAAATTACCTCCGCAAATATCTTGTTTCAGAGATTCGTGCCAAATCACTTGATTTAGACACAACTACTGCATTATTTCTTGATTATTTCCCAGAAAGTCAGAAACTCTTTGAACAACCACAAAACATGAAAATTGCTTCTGCTGATGCTGAAATGTATAAGGAGGTTGGGAGCAAGATGAAATCCCACTCATCTACAAAATCTTTTGATGAAAAAGAGTGTATTGAACCACCATATGTGATATTAGATGCAGAAAAGCAACAAGAACCGGTTAAAGAGTTCATCACTACAGACACTGAGAACGTAATGATTCATACTGGTGATGACAGGTCAAAAGAGTCTATTCAATTTGTGAAAAACAAAGTACTAGATTCTTTGAAGATGGAAGTTGGTCGCAAGCTGAATGCTGCGGAAATGATAGAAATGAAGCCAAAGCTTACCAGAGATATGGAACATGTGGCAAATACAGTTTCACTAGCTGTTGGAACTAGCAAGGGGCAACTACTCTATTCCGAAAGTCAAGGCCATGATGTTGAGGGTGCTGTAGGAAAGGTTGACACTCTTGACGGGGAACATATCATTAGGGCAATTTCATCCTCTGTTAAGCAAACAAGCTGCCTAAGAAAAGTTGTGCCTATTGGTGTTATTGTTGGATCCATCTTGGCTTCCCTGAGGAAATATTTTAATGTAGCTCCACATCAAGAAAATGGCCAGGGAAGATCTCATGCCCTTGATGATGAGGAGAAACCTGGTGGAAAGAATTATGTCATTGATGATGCAACAGAGGCAGTTCAAGTACCAGATGAGAAAACCAGTTTGGACCATCCCATCAAGAGAGATCTTGTAGGAAGTGAATTAGAAGATTCAAACAAAAATACTTACATGACTGGTGCGGTTACAGCTGCTATTGGGGCTTCTGCTTTACTCATGCAACAGGAGGTATTGTTGCAGTCTTTTCATATGCTTTCAGTGCTCTCTACAGTTAATACCTCTGCAAGATAGGGATCAAGTGTTCTATTTTATCACTTGGTTACTTAACCACTTTCTAGATATAGGTTTGGTAATGAGGTTTGTCACGATCCATTGGATTTTCCTTCAAAAAATTGATTTAAAATTGACCTTAACATGTCTAGTTTCTCATATATCATCTTAATTGCAATCTATTCAACTGCGTGGTTGTTCACTCATTATTTAGTTTTCTCTTGTACCCTTCACTCAATTTATATTTTATTGAAGTTGTTCTGATTATTGATTTTTCTCAGTCAATTATTAAAAACTGAAAGAATCAAGTTGATAATAGACTGACTTAAGTTGTGTAAAATAGAAGCGAGAACAGAAAGTGGTCAAACATATGGGTGAAATATCTATTTACTACTTTAAAATTTAAACACCTAGTAAAGAAAAGTGTCTGGTTTTTTTAGCTTTAATTGCTCTATTCTAGGATTTACAAGGAGGAAATGAAAATCACCAAAAGAAGCCAGAAGAGCTCAAAGAGAAAGTCTCTGATAATCAGAGTAACATAATCACAAGCCTTGCTGAGAAAGCCATGTCGGTTGCTAGTCCAGTTGTACCTACCAAAGAAGATGGTGGAGTGGATCAAGATAGGTCAGACAGAACACTTATATTCCCACTATACAAGCACTCTACTGTTCTTTTTCTGTTTTAATAATTTGACACAGCTTCTCTTTCTGATCAGACTGGTTACAATGCTAGCTGATTTAGGACAAAGAGGTGGCTTGTTGAGGCTAGTTGGAAAATTTGCTTTGCTATGGGGTGGTATCCGTGGTGCAATGAGTTTGACAGACAAGCTTATCTCAGTCTTTCATTTTTCTGAGCGTCCGTTGTTTCAGAGGTAACTTGAACTAATGAATGTTCATTCCATTCTCTATTTTCCTGCACTGCTGCTGCCTTCCAGTTTGGAAAGTAGAAAATAGAAACTGTGTTAATTTGGATTAAGTTCATCATAATTAATTGCTAGTTTTGACTTCTGTTGAGAGCCAACAGTATTATATTTTTTTAAAACTGTGTTTTGGAAAATCTACTGACTTCTTTTAAGTTAGAAAATCTATTGATTCTGCTATCCCCAGTGCTGCATGATCCCTTTTTAAAAAAACTAATATCCGTGTCTATTTGGCAGTTAATCTCATTTATAGAATTTCTTGACTGCTTTGAGGGAAGTTTAATCCTCAAGGTTTACTCGGATGATTTATGAACGTTGATGTTTGTTATGAATTGACTATTACTTTTTTTAAGAAGATTAATTAGTAAGTTAGGATAAAATCTGAATTCAACAATTCAGATTGTAAAGACTATTTCTTATCCCTCATTTTACTCCTTTATTTTTCTAATTCGGGATACATTGGTCATTTCATCTTAATCAAGTATGGCTATAAATCCAACTTGTTGAGAGTTCAACGGATGAGATGGCCCGAAAATGCGTGTATAATTAAGTTGAAAACATTGCTCATCTTGCAAGTTGGTTTTAAAAGGTTGAGTTAGGTCCAATCCAAGTTTTGATTGGTATCAAAGCCTATCCAATATCTCTTTCGTTGGGCCACCTGCTATCGGGCTATTAAAGTCATGCTCTAGTTGTCCAGTCTTGGGGATAAGGGAGTGTGTATTGAGAGTCCCACATTAGATGAGATATGTCTGAAAATTTGCTTAGAAGTGGGAGACATCTCTAATCCATCAAGCCGATTTCGTAAAACGTGTTAACCCCAATCCAAAATTTAAGTTTGCTATATATGGCACAACAATGAGTAAGAGAATAAGTTTTATTCTTTCTTAAAACTTGCAAATTTACAAGGTTCAGTGAAGAGGCTTAAGAAAAGGTAAACTGGGGCCTTTTTTTCCTTTTAGATAAGCATTAATAATTTTTTTAATAAACACAAGCATCGATACTTCAGCACATTTGTTTTTAATGTGGAACAACGAAGACATGGTGGGTAACTTAATATCAACTTCATGCAATAACAAATATTGTGTCTTCTTAAATTATATTCAAGGCTTCCATTACAAAAAATTTTGGGGTTAATCATGAGAGGTCTATTTGTGCACCATAAATAAACATCATTACTCAATTTCAAATAATTTAGAAATTTGTGGGTTGTTATCTAATAATGGACATTTACTTGTGTGTACATAGTATTCTCTGCGGTCTAGATTATATGCAAAAGTAGCTAAATTTCACACTTATTAAGAAAATTAATTTAGTGTAATTAATCATCTTATAGAAAATTGCATTCTCAAAAGTGTCCTCAATGATACTTGTTCCGTGAGAATAAATGATACGTTAGAAAATAAAATTTATACTAATTGAGGGGTATTTTAGGAAAGTCATCATTAAATAGAGTGAAAATTAAATTTGTATATAGTTGAGACCACCAATGAGTACTTTTTTGTTTGTTTGTTTGAAGCTGTAAGATATATGTTATCAACTAAGTAACTTTTTATTTTCCTGAAATTTTATATGCTTTATTTGCATCATAAAAACTTTTTATTCAATTGTGTTAACATGATTAAATAGTAAATGGTCTTTCGCTGGAACTCTGCCTGGTCTGTATGTTATCACAAAATGAAGGCCTGAATTTTTTAGTCTAGATATTCCCATGTAAACATTGAATGGTGATTTTCCCATATATGCACATGATTGCCGATGTATATCTTACCTAGATTTTTACATCTGGTGTGTGAATTACATCTTTTCAAACTGCACTGTTTTTCCTTGTCTAGGATTTTTGGGTTTGCCGGCATGATCCTTGTTTTATGGTCCCCTGTTGCTATTCCATTTCTTCCTACAATTGTTCAGGGTTGGACAACAAACAGCCCTTCCATAATAGCCGAGTGTGCCTGCATTATTGGCTTGTACATTGCTATAATGATACTTGTAATGCTATGGGGGAAAAGAATCCGTGGATTTGAAAATGCGTTTGAGGAGTATGGGCTCGGGTTGACTTCACTAAAGGTAAATCTTCAACTGTAGTTTCTATAGAATATAATGGAGATTATTTTTGATATATTTCTTTAAGGTTGTCACAGTAAATGTCATCTTTTTTTCTTTAAATTTGTCACTGTAATGGGAAATGGTAGTTTAAAGTCTATCAACTTGTTGCGATGGAGAAAATGACAATAGATGCAGTACATAAAAATGAAAATGAAAATAAAATTAAAGATAGACACACTCATAAAACTTACAAATGTATTATTAATTAATTTATTTATATTTATCAAAATTTGAGTTGGGTTTAACTCATTCTTACATAACCGGCTTGTAGGGTGAGGACTGCCCCCCACTTATAAACACAACACAAACCATATCTCTAAGCAATGTAGGATTAAATCCACTTCTTCAAACCTAACACAATGAAGGTGTTGGAGGCAGCAATGGAAGCTAGCCAAAGTGCTGCAATTAAGGCAAAAAGGTGCATTGATGCCATGGTCCTACTGAAGTTCACACCCCCCTCATGCTTGGGCCTCAATGGGTCCAAAGAGTGGACGATGTGGGAAGCCCGACAATGGATCTAGGATAGGCTCTAATACCATTTCAATATTTGGGTTTTGTCTAACTCATCCCTACAAAATCGGATTTTATATATATATATATATATATATATATATATATATATATATATATATATATATATATATATATATATATATATATATATATATATATATATATATATATATATATATATATATATTTATGTTAATGTCAATAATGCCCTTATTTACAATTATTTCAACCAACGATATACTCACTCCGTCTCATTATAAGTGTGGTTTAAGTTAATGCACATTTCTTAAGAAAATAATTTATTATTGTGATTTATGTAGTAAAATAATGTGTTCAGGCTAAAACACTCATATAAAAAGTACAATATCATATTAATTGGAGTGGTTGGAAGTAGTATAAGTGGAGTGGTTAGATGGATAGGCTATTTAAATAAGGGTATTGTTGGAAAAAAATAGAAATACTTTCATGGTATTATTATCTTGGTATTTTAAATTGACAAATAATTTGAGATGGTGAAATATTCCAAACAAGACACTTATAATGAGATGGAAGAAGGTATTAATTAGTCCCTTTACCTATCTACTATAATAATTTCAATAGTTTATATTGTTGTGCATTCTGTTGTAGATGAGTAGACTGTAGAGTTTAAAGATGATTCCTTGATTTATAATTAAAGGTTTTTATAGTCAAAAATAATTATTTTACCATGGAAATTGTATGATTTATAATTTTTTTAAATCCTTAAACGACAACAAACGAGACAGGGAGTACATGATTGTCCAAGGTTTTTTGAAAATTTGATATTGAAATCATGCCAATTAATATTTTCAAAATGTATTGCAACAAGTAGAGCATACCAACCACCAAGTATACACATTATGTTGCTTCAAAAGAAAAAGTATACACATTATGTACAATGTATTTGACCAAGTAATGTAAGTAGTACTAAAAATCAGTGCATGTACAAAAGAGTATTGTGTTTGGTATAACTTTGGTCTGGACTTACCTGCATCAATATCCATGAGGTGATTTTGTTATTTGTTTATGTTGGAAATTCCGTATTCATTGCGGTCTGCCCCTAGTTGCTTAATTGTGGCATTTGGCTTGCCTTCATTGCAGCCTCCAACACCTTCATTTGTTAGGTTTGAAGGGGGTGTAATTAGTCCCACATTGCTTAGAAGAGATATGATGTGTGTAGTGTTTATAAAGTTTGGGCAGCCCTCACCTGACAAATTGGTTTTGTAGGGATGAGTTAGGTCCAACCCATACATTCTAAGAGTTCATGTTTGGGGATGGGTAATGGGAGCTTCAGGAAAATATGAAATCCTTAGTGAGTTTATTGTTCTCCTGCAATACTTGTCTTGATCTATGAATGATAAGCTAGTTTTGGATCTCCTTGTTGCAGTTAATTGAATTTTTGAAAGGCTTGGTCGGTGGAGTCATGTTCATTTTTTCAATCCATGCTGTGAATGCATTTCTTGGTTGTGCAAGTTTCTCTTGGCCTCATATTCCACCTTCTTTAGATATCATGGCTTGGCTAAAAGTGTATGGACAAATGGGCCTGCTAATTTTTCGAGGAACTGTAATGGCAAGTGCTATTTCATTGGTGGAAGAATTGCTTTTCAGGTCATGGTTGCCCCAGGAAATTGCAGTTGATTTTGGATATCAAAATGGAATCATAATTTCAGGGCTAGCATTTTCTTTCTTACAGAGGTTTGTCTTCTCTCTCTGTTTTTCCTGTTATACATGCACGTAATATCGAGGCATGAAACTTGGGGCTTTACTGGACAATGAACTGCCTTTTTTTATTCTTTCTTCCTTAAGAATTTTTTGTTAGAATATCTGATTTTTGTTTTTTCGTCTGTCTTTCTTTTGTCCTTGTACATTTGTTTGTTTCAATGAAAAATTAGGAGGGAAAAATTGTTTGAGTCTCAGAATTTGTCATTCATATAAAACCAGCTTGTAGGGTGAGGATTGTCCCCCCACTTATTAACACAACACAAACCATATCTCTAAGAAATATAGGACTAAATCCACCCCTTCAAAGCCAACACAATGAAGGTGTTTGGGACTGTAATGAAGGCAAGCCACAGTGCCACAATTAAGGCGACTAGGGGCGGGACCACAATTAAGGCGGAAAGTCCAACACCCCTCCTCACGCTTGGGCCTTAATGAGTCCGAAGCGTGGACAGTGCGGGAAGCCCAACAATGGATTTAGGATAGGCTCTGATACTATCTTAGAATGTGAACTGGGTCTAATTCATCCCTACAAAACTGGCTTGTAAGGTGAGAATTGCTCCCACTTAAATACATTTTCAGGTCATATATTATCTGATGTAGGACTTTTAACATAAAAAGTTAATTTAGGAGAGTAAAAATAATTGAAAGAGTGAGAGATTAAGATGAAATATATCGAAGGGAAATGTCGAAACAACTATTTTCTTGGATTGGCACACAATGACCGTTGGTCCAGTGGTAATGATTTAAGCGATTTTTGAGTGGTGGGGTTTTCTCTAATCTTAGTGAGTTCTCGAGACTTACTGACCCAAATTTGTATATCATTAAGAGTTAGAAATGCACTTCGGAAGCATGTGTTTTCTCTCCGTTCTCAAATTAATAACGTTCGGTCAAGGCTTAAGCTTGTCTTGCTGCTCACATTTAGGGAGCTCAAACACTCAAAACATGCAAGAGGGCATTCACAAAATTTATTCACAATTTTTTTATGCCCGATGGATCTTGAAGTTTAATACTTGTTTGTTGGCCTGGCCTATTTAAAGGCCTACGCTGGTAAGCCTATTTAATATTAATAAGTGTTAACAATAAAGATGTCAAAATAGGGAAGAGAGGAATAATATGAATAGCATAACTTATTTAAATAAGGGTTACAAATAGAATATATAATAAGATCTAAATAGACTAAATTACTCATAGTCCAACTAAAAGTAAAGGCCCATTACATATTATCTAACCATAAGAATTAAATCTTTATGTAACCTTTCATATCAAGTCAGGATTTGAAATGGTGATGCCAAGTCTTAGAAACAGGCCCATACCAAGTAAATTAGTCAAGCTTGGACCTTGTGTTTGGGGAACAACCGTAGTTTCTTTAAGGCAAAGTTTGACCAATTTCCACCCCTACAATAATCCCACCTATTCTATTTGATTATAAAAGGTTTAGCCCTTTTAGAATACCAATTTGTGCTAGTTAGTGCAGAAAGGATGTATGCCAAAGCACATCGTATGAATTACAGAAGCATGCATCTCAATTCATATTTAATGCTATTCAAGTCCTTACATAATTCACAAGACTTAAAAGAAAGCCACCAACAGCCATGTCTTATCCCTGTGGAGTTCTGTAGTTTAACATTTTGTTTTCAGCTATGCTGCAGCCTGCATCCCTCTGACAATGTTCTTGGAAGATGTCTTAGATATCTTCTGCTCAAAAAACATGAGTGACCCCTTTGCCTTTTTCTCAAATTCGAAAGATGGGTCTTTCACAACCCTTGAGTGATCCCTTTATCATTGCCATTGACGTCAATGTCTTTGCATCATTGTACTGCATGTCAGTTTTAGCGGGCATGTTGACACACTCATGTCTCAACTCTCAAGCCACACAACTCAATTAACGCCAAAAAGAAAAGTTGACAAACACAAGCCATACCTAACCAAGACAATAAAAACTTCTTTAACTTATGAGAATTATATATGTGTCTTGCAGTCTAATCTAACGTTGAACATTTTTGGAATTAATAACAATTATGAAATGTTGGAATTAGTAACAATTATTAGTATGGAAAGTTGCAGAGTCTAGTTAGTCTTGCATCTAGGAAATAACGTCCATGCACTTAGGAACAATGTAAATTACAATTATTTTTAGTAGTATATATAAAGAGATCAGCTGAGTGCAAATCACTCAAGCATTCCACAAATCTCTTAGTCCTCTATCAAAGTCTTTTAAATGGTATCAGAGCTTGTTCATTTCTCCATTAAGGATTTCTATCTCTGGTCCAATAGAACCCTTAATCTTCCTTGGTTTGAAAAAAAATATTTCTTCCATCCAAAAGTCATTGTTACCCTCATTTTCTAGTTGTTGGTCCACTCTGTTTTTTTGAAGAAAATGGGTTGTCGTCAATGCATATATTGCAAGAGAATGGGTCACAATCAAAAGACATGTTACTCTCTTCATGGTTTTCTTGGAAAATATCTCATAGGTCGACTGCCACTAGTGTTCATGCTTCTGCAGCCTTCATATCTCAATCTTGTAACAATCAAAATCTTTGGATAATTGATTCAAGCGCCCCTGATCATATTGCTGATAACGGTTCCTTATTCTCTTCCATATCCTCTGCTAAATTTCCTCACTTCATAACTCTAGCAGATGGTTCTAAGGTCACCGCCAAAGAAATCGGCCATGTTTCTGTCACTCCTTCTATAATTGTGAAATCAGTATACATGGTCGTCTAATCCCCCTTAGCCAACTTACTCGGTCTTTAAATTGCACAATAATCTTTGATGTTGGTTCGTTTACTATACAGGAACGTGGTACAGGTCGGACGATTGGCTCAGGATATGAATCACATGGACTTTATTACCTCCATTTAGTTCCTTCTGTAAGTTGTACTGAGATTGAGTCTCCAAGCCTTCATGAATGATTGGGTCATCCAAGTCTGTCAAAATTAAAATAAATGGTTCTGAATCTTGCAAAAATTTCATCATTAAATTGTGAGTCGTGTCAATTAGGAAAGCATGTTCGCTCTTCCTTTTCAAGAAAAGTTGAAAGTCGAATTGGTTCTCCCTTTTCTGTTATCAATTCAGATATATGGGGACTAAGCCATGTGCCTTCTAATGGTTATCGATATTTTGTTACTTTCATTGATGAATTCTTCCGATGCATATTTTTCTTCTCGTCTTTCTTCCTTTTTGTCATCACATGGTATTCTCCATCAATCAAGTTGTCCTCATACCCCTCAATAGAATGGCATAGCTGAAAGGAAGAATATGCATCTTGTTGAAACTGTTCGAACCTTGTTACTTAATGCAAATGTACATGTCCGACATTGGAGTGATGTAGTTTTGACATCCTGTTTTTTGATTAATCGAATGCCTTCTTCCTCTCTTGATCATAAAATATCACATTCCATTCTATTTTCCAAAGAACCATTGTTTCATATTGCTCCTCAGATGTTTGGATGCATCTGTTTTGTTCATGACTTGTCTCCGGATCTTGATAAGCTTTCTGCCCGAGCCATAAAATGTGTTTTTCTGGATACTCTAGATTACAAAAAGGTTACAAATGTTACTCTCCTATGTAGAATCGTTACTACATTTCTACAGATGTAACATTCTTCGAAGAAAAGTTTTACTTCTCACCATCTAGAGTTGAGTCCCATACTACAGAAGTTTTTCCAATTCCTTATCTTGGTCCATCACCTTCCCTGGTCCATGTATACCAACGACGTCCACGTGTTGCTAATACAAAATTGAAAAGCACTGAAAGACGATATGAATCACGATATGAATCATGTCCTGCACCAACAGATGACCCTACTACAAACCTTCATGAAGAAAATCTTGACTTGTCCATTGCTCTTCGAAAAGGTACTCAGTCTACTAGCAATCTCAATCCTATTTATAACTTCCTAAGTTACCATCGTCTCTCTCCTTATTATTCTTTTGTGTCATCTATATCTTCTATTTCCATTCTTAAAAACGTTTCTGAAGCACTTGATCATCGAGGATGGCGACGAGCCATGATTGATGAAACGAAAGCTTTAAAGCATAATGGTACTTAGGAATTAACTCCTCTCCCTCCGAGAAAGAAACCAATTGGATGTCGATGGGTATATGCTATTAAAGTTGGGGCCAATAGTCAGATTGATCGTCTCAAAGTTCGACTTGTTGCAAAAGGATATTCCCAAATTTATGGACTTATTATGGAGATACTTTCTCTCCTGTGGCCAAAATAACGTCCGTTCGATTATTTATTGTCATCTGTCGTTGGTCATTATATTAGTTGAATATTAAAAATGCGTTTCTTCATGGTGAGTTGGAAGGAGAAATTTACATGGAGCAACTCTTCGGATTTGTTGCTCAAGAGGAGTCCGGTTTTGTTTGCAGATTACGACGATCTCTCTATGGTTTGAAACAATCACCACGAGCATGATTTGAAAATTTTAGTTCAGTTATTCAAGCTTTTGGAATGAAACGTAGTGAAGTAGATCACTCTGTCTTCTATTGTCACACATCTTCTAATAAATGTGTTTATTTGGTGGTTTATGTAGATGATATAGTCATAACAGAGAATGATCTAGAGAAAATTTCTCTGTTGAAAGAACATTTATGTAACCCTTTTCAAAATAAGGACTTGGGGAAGCTTAAATATTTTCTTAAGATTAAAGTTGCTCAGTCAAAGGATAGAATTATCATCTTACAAAGGAAGTATGCCTTAGACATACTTAAAGAAACCGGTATGTTGCAATGTAAATCAGTTGACAGTCCCATGAATTCAAATGTAAAAAGATATCGAAGATTGGTTGAAAAACTCATTTATCTAACTATAACAAGATCAAATAATTCCTTTGCAGTTGGCGTAGTAAGTCAATTCATGTGGTGTCCGCATAATGATCATTGGGATGCACTGATCCGAATTCTAAAGTACATTAAAAGGGCTCCAAGACAAGGACTACTTTATGAAGACAAAGGGGGCACTCAAATAGTTAGACTTTGTGATGCAAATTGGGCAGGTTCGCCTATTGATAGGCGTTTCACTTCAGGATATTGTGTTTTTATTGGTGGGAATCTTGTCTCTTGGAAGAGCAAGAAGCAAAATGTGATTGCAAGGTCTAGTGCAGAGGCTGAATATAGAGCTATGGCTATAACCACTTGTGAACTTATATGGATTAAACAACTTCTTCAAGTGTTAAAGTTTGGAGATATTCAACCAATGAAACTATGTTGTGATAACCAGGCAGCTCTACATATAGCTTTCAATCCGGTATTTTATGAGAACTAAATATATTGAAATTGATTGTCATTTTGTTCGTGAGAAAGTTTTTTCTAAAGAAATCATCACTGAGTATATTATCTCAAATGACCAATTGGCAGACGTCTTCACAAAGTCCCTAAAAGGACCGAGAATTCAATACATTTGTTCCAAGCTTAGAGCATTTGACTTGTATGCTCCAGCAGTTCGAGGGGAAGTGTTGGCATTAATAACAATTATGGAATGTTGGAGTAATAACAATTATTAGTATGGAAAATTATAGAGTCTAGTCAGTCTTGCATTTAGTAAATAACATCCATGCACCTAGAAAATAACATTATTATTTATCTCATTGTAAATGTAAGTTGCAATTATTTCTAGTAGTATATAAAATAGATCAGCTGAGTGCAAATCACTCGAGCATTCCACAAATCTCTTAATCCTCTATCAAAAGTCTTTTTAACAGACATGTCCTTTTTAACGAAGTGTGCTGAAAGGATTTCTTGAGCCCGATTTAATGTTGGATATGTCCTTTTAACAAATTATTTAAATTTTCTTCTTTTTTAGGCCTGAGTTTGTATTTACTAATATATTAACCAACAATAAAATTTTTTTTCATTTTGAAATCTTATTTTTTTTTCTCTTTGCTTGGATTTTCAGGTCATTATCATCAATACCAGGACTATTGCTTTTATCTCTGTCTTTGTCAGGTGCTCGACAGAGAAATAGAGGTAGCCTCTCTATCCCTATCGGGCTACGTGCGGGGATGTTGGCGTCCACTTTTATCTTGCAAAGAGGTGGTTTTTTAACATATAATTATAAAGGAAACATTCCTCTTTGGGTAATTGGGTCTCATCCATTTCAACCATTTAGTGGTTTAGTTGGTTTGATATTTTGTTTATCACTAGCAATCGCCCTCTACCCCAGACAGACATCACAAAAAAGTGAAGCTAAGGAGTGAGTGAAAAACTCATCAGCCAAAAGAATCACAGTAATGAATTTATGATACGGCCATGTTATATGCCAAAGTTGGAATTAGTTGGTATTTTGGTGCGGTGTTTTGATTCTGCTATACACAGTACAAAGTTTTCCTTGTAATGTCAATTGGGGAGAAAGAAATGGGAAGACAGTAATTGCGGCATACAAAGAAAGGTGAAACTTTGGAAAATTGAAAGCGTCAGTTCTCTCAAGCATCATACAAAATCTTCATGTAGAAATGTTGCTACCACTGGTTTCATAGGTTTTATATAAGGCATCATGTACAAGGTCCTTTTTGTAAGTAGAAGGGTATAGGTTTGTATATAACTGCGTGGTTTCTTTATATGTACTTAATTAGTTTATTAGCTGGTCAAAGTGTACAGTAGAAATTTTGTAAGTTGTTATTATTAATCAGAACAAGATAAAATAGTGAGGAGTCTATGTATAGAATATAGGACGGACAAGGATCCTCTGAAGTGAATAATTTACGTTAGAGAGGAAAGTAAGTAATATCAATTGTCGATAAATAAATAAATAAATAGTTGATATTATATGCACAAGTGTAACAAATGAGTGGTTACAATATCAACTAGTACTATTTGTTTCAGAGGAGCCAAATCCGTATAGAATGTTAGGTGGGTATCTATTTTAGTTGTACTCCTTTTCTTTTTTTATTCTCTTTCCATTTTGAGAGGTGTAAAATTACAAGTGACTGAGAAAATAACATGTTATCCCCACAATTAAACATGTCACCCTTTAATTTTTTATTTATTTTACTTTTACTCTTGAATGAGATGAACATTATTTTTGAAAGAAATTTTTAGAAGAACTAAATTTTCTGGTATCATCCAAATTTTTGATACATTCCTACAAAATTTTCGGTATTCATAAATTTTCGATAGTATATTTAAAATTTTTGATAATATATTTAAAATTTTTGGTATATTGAAAATTTCAAATTAATTAAAATTTTCGGTAACTATAAAATCATCGTTTTTTAAACGTTGAGATTTTGCCGACATATTTGGATGATTCTGATTACACTGAACATTTGTGTGGTTTAGAGTACATCATCATTTGTATAAATAGGAGCATGTGTTATTGAGAAAATACATTTAAAAAAATATCTCTTTCTCAACTTTTGATTAAGGCAGAAGTGTATTACGATAATAACCCTCCTGTTGAATTCAAGTTTTCAGATGACTCTGAATCTTTTGTCACTTTGAAAGAAACGTTGAATAATTTAATGTTTGATTTCTATAACAGAAGGATGACAAATGTAGAGTTTTGAGAGGATTGGATTGATATAAATAGAATGGTGAAATACAATCTAATTGAGTTGAAGAAAGATGAAGTTGTGAATGTCATGTGAAAATTATTTCGTCGTAGGATAACTAAAGGTCTGATCAAGTTGGATGCGCAGATTCAAAGATCTCTCAGCGACATAATGAAGATGCTGAAACGTCCAGAGTCATTCGGAAGTGTCTAGATTTTCATGTTTAGTTATTTTAGGATTATGTTTGTTGTACTATTTTATGTTATTTTCATCATCGATTCGAACATGTAATCGCCAAAAAATTATGCAATAAATAAGAAGTTTGTGGGTCACAAAATATATAATTGTTATACTTTAAAATTTATCTTCTTCATTTTAATCTATTTGGCTTATATTTCATTATCATATGCGTGCATACACAACATTGATTATGTGGTTACGGGATCTGGATAGTTCTCTCAAGCTTCGTCAGGTTACCGAAGACGTTTATTTCGTCATTCGACGCATTCAGAGACTTTCTCAGGCTATTGAATCAGTGTATAATGAGGTCATCATCATGTCAAGATCCCATGTGTTTCAACACGTCTTGGACGGCAGGGAAAATCAAGTGTGTCGTTCAGTCCTAAATAATTTGAATTAAAAGTCTGTTTTGTTACGGTGGGTTTAAGAAATTTATAACTTCTGGTCAGAAGAAGATTTTTCAGTGGTTCTTTGAATATTAGTACCATCTTGGCGTTCTTTATTTGTTGTCTATTCAGATCGAAGACCAATTTTGTGAGAAAGACCGCTGAAGATTTAAATAATCAGAGTTTTGGGTTTGTTGCTCAATGGTCGCTCGGATGTTTGAAAATTTGTAACTCTCATGTGGCTCAACGTTTCTGAATGGTTCTTCATTCATAAAATTCATCTTGATATATTCTCTAATTCACGTGTTCAGGCCGAGAGTTAATTATTTGTAGAAGGTCTATGAATGCGCGAATACGTTGAAATGCGTGTTGAAAAATATAGTGAAAAATGTGTCGAACCGTTATTTTTCGGTCGTTCAAAAATTCATAACTTCCGTCCGGTTGGATATTTTTGATTGTTTCGTTGGGCGTAAATTCTGTCTTGATGTCCCTCACATTTCGTATGTCCGGGTCGAGAGTCAATTCTGTGCCGAAGGTCTCCGAAAACACGAATTATCGGAGAATTTTTACAATAAAATTGGAGCTTTGGTTCACTGTTTCTCGATATTGTGAAAATCATAACTCTCTCGATTTTTATTGTATCGGGATGGTTTTCAAAGCGTGGGATCATAAATTTTGTTTGCTACAACTTTGTTTCCAGTCCCGAGTTCGAACGGTACTCCGAAGGCTTCGGTTATTTTTTGTTTCTCAAGTTGATCGGTAAAATAAGTTGTGTTGCAGATTTTTTTTGTCTGATTTCTCACCATTAAAATATTTATAACTTACTCAGTTTTTATCGTATCGTGTCCGTTCTTTTGGCACGACGTCACAAATTTCGTCATCTACGATTTTGGTGTTGGTCTCGCGTCGAGATTTCATATTGATTATTAGTGAGCTCGTGGATTTTGCGTTCAACTGTATTTACAGACACTGAAAATTCAATTTTGTGAATAAATTGATTGAATTTTCCCTTGGCCCAAACCAAGGCCCAAATTGCCAAGTGTATATATTCAATTCTCCTCTTTATTTTAGACACACAAAATATTTGCTAAATTTCACCCAAGAATCAACACAACAAACTCTCTTAATTTTCTCTTCTCTCATCAAGAACAAAGTAGAAAAATTCAAAAGTCTCCTTCCCTCCAAAGCAAATCGAACCACCATTTGCGACGTTCTCCTCACCGCTCTGCACTGTCTACCAACGAAGACTCCCTTCGGCCCGCTGTGATTCTGTGTATTGTAATAAATTGTAATAATCTATTTTATTTTTCTTGAAAAAAAAGTCATATGATTTAATAAAAATAAAATATTTTATTATATTAAAAATAGATAATTGTATCAACAAGTATACTTTTTCTCGTTTATAAGCGTTTTGAATCTGTGGATATGTATATTTATAAAAATATTTCTAACTTATCCATATTTATAAAAATAAATATATCAATAGTTAAATTTATCTCACTTATAAAAAAAAAATTCTACTTTCTAGGTATATAAATTTTTACCAATCATCATTTTTTCATGATTACCATTTAATAAAATTTTATTCTTTTATTATATTATAATGATAGAAATAAAATTTCATTTTTTATTAAAATAAAGTCATATCATTTTTTAAATTATTCATTTTTTTATTTTTACCTTAGTATGTTTTTTTATAATATAGTATTTGAATTTTTCAAGTATTTATTTTTAATTTATCATAAAATGGTTTGTCAATTCTCTGTTATAAAATTAAAATAATATTCTTTAATATTAAAAGTTATTTCAATTTATTATTAAAAATAATATAAAATTATTATAATTTATTACAAATCTAAAATTAAGAAAAAATAAAATATATAATTAGTACATTTATTATCATAGTGTTAATTATTATTATTAAAAATGGAATAAAATAAATCTAATTTATAATTCATCTTATTTGAATCAATCACGCGAAGGGAGAAGAATATTGTCATTGTTTGTATTGGAAACCAAATTATTTTTATGTTTTTTGGTTATCGAAACTGATCTTACCGGATCAGACTTGGACCGTCACGACTGACTCCGAGCGAAAGTTGAACGAGATGGGGGAATACCTGCAAGACACTCCGATGCTAAAGTGGGCGATGGTACGAGCAGGCAAAAAGTGTGTGTATGGGTAAAAGAATGAATACCTGACCCTCTGGGAACATAAGGTATTTATAGCCCCCAGCGTGGGGCCAAGGTCCTTTTATTGGGCCGACCAGGACTGGCCCAACAAAGGGACTGTCAGGTTCTACATGTGTAGTGGGGACCCGCACGTGGTCTCCTTCCTGGTGATGCTCTGCGAGAAGTACGGAGGGACGAGGACGCGGTCTTTCTGGAGTTCAGGTGATGGAGTAACGGTCATAGTCTGCCCTACGAAGAGGGTGCTCGAGCTGGGCTCGAGCTGGATTTCATGTGGTCGAGGACGTCATGTTCGCGGGCAGCGGCGGGCACGGCTGCGGCTTCTAGTCGACGCGCTGGCGGGAGTCTTCGGGCGCGCTCCTTGAAGAGTTGCTTGGATTGGGCCTTTGTTCTTGCTCTTGGGCCAGGACGGACCCAGTCCAGAACAGGAGCCCCCCAAGTCGTGGCTCCTGGAGCAGGAGTTATGACTTGATCTCAGCTCGTCTTTGTCACGGGGCCTTATGCTCGGTCAGGATATTTGCTTCCCCGTGGTTGCTCGAGGAGTTTCTCATGTGTTGAGTTTGTGAGATAATCCCTTTCGAGGCGTGTTCGGGGGATTCTTTGCGGGTTGTGCTCGTTGGGTATACGAGGCAACCCTTAGGAACCGTGACGCCACCCTAGTGAAAGTAGAGTCATCATTGCCTAGGGGAGTAGACGTCGAGGAGGGGAAGCTCGTGGTTCCCCGGGGTGACGTTTCGTATTCCACGTCATCCCTATAAATAGGATCCTTGGGTCCCATAATCTATTTTTCTTCTTCGCGCTTCTCCTCCTTCCTCTGCCTTTGCCGCCGCTGTTTTTCCAGAATTTCATAGGACCACCGTGCTTTCCGCCGTCGATTTTCTTCCCTGCCGCCGTACATCCTTCCTAACTTCCAAGTAAGCATTTTATCCCTCATATTTTTCTCTGTGGTAGGTGATTTTTTCCGTTATTTGTATGTTAGAAATCCGCATCTGGGATTAGTGCCCGGTACATTCATGTTCATGCCCGGTATGTTCATGTTTTTGCCCGGTAAATGCATGTTTGTGCCCGGTGAACGCATAGCTTTAGGTATGTGACTTGCGATGCTGCCCGAGATCTTCATGGTTTTAGGCGCATAACTTATGATACTGCCCGGTAAACCCATAGTTCTAGGTTTAGGATTCATGATACTGCCCGTCATATTCATAGTTTAGGTCGACTTACTCATGACTGGCCGGGATGTTGGCCCATTAAGGAAGTGTGTAGGACGACTCGTCGTGGCACCTTAGCGTCGGGGAGGTGAAACCAGGCTCTTGTTCAAGTCCTCAACATTTTAACGCGCGCGGAGTGTGACTTGGCTTGTCGTGCCTTTCCTCCCGTCAGTTATGGCGAGCGTATGAATTTGCTCTCGAGTTTCACCAGTTTCCTGTGCTTTGCGGGTAAAATGGATGACGAACCGGAGTCTTATGGGCGCAACGAGGTCGAGGACCAGAGTGCCGAGGAGAATGTAACTCTAATCGATACAGTTGATGATCCTTTGCTGGATTGGGTGGGCGCCGAGCCCAGAGGGATTGCCTCGGCATATAGTCGGAGCGCCTACACTATCGTCGAACATGGCGGTAGTCAGCCGGGCTTCCAGAAAAACTTTGTTGTCACAAGGCCGTCTCTTGACGCGCAGATATGCTCGGAGTTCTCTAAGTATGGGTTTCCCATGTATGAAATCGCGTTCAAGGACCTCGGTATCAAGCTCCCCTTTAGTGATTTCCAGGTCGGGGTATTCAGTCATCTGGAGTTGGCCCCCTCGCAGCTTCACCCCAACTCGATCGCCTTTCTTCGGGCGTTCGAGTTGACGTGTCGCTTTTTAAGGATTGGGGCGACCATCCCTCTCTTCTTCAGAGTTTTTCATTTGCAACGCCAGTCTCAGGGAGGTAGGCATAGTTGGGTTTCCCTGAAACAGTCGAAGAGGTTGTTCAGGATGTACATGGATTCGGTCCGGGGTTTCAAGGACAAATGATATGTCTGCGTCCGATCACCCAGACTGCTCTGGATTCTGTATATGAAGAAGAGACTGCAGTGACCGACGATAACGGGGAGCCTCTTATGGACGATGAGGGTCGCCCGGTGTTGGGGCGCGTAGCTAAGTTCCCATTGCATTGGAGCTCGCGCCACTATGAGCATGGTACCG